ACTCGAGCCGGACATAGTTCGGCCGAGAGCCTCCTGACAAAGAGAAAGACTTTAATGAATTCAGCATGTCGCCAAAGGGCGAGTGCTGGAAGACATCCGCAGCGGTAAACTCCATTACCGGAGCCCAACCAGGCTCAGAGGGCTCGGGAGCGCGCGGACTGAAACCTTCACCCGTATACGAGTCCGGGGGTCTGGAATCACAGGCGTACCTAGAGGTGAAGCCTGGGTTCGGCTCTACCACTAATGAGTGTGCGGCTTGTGGGGCGGGGTCCATCCACCCGTCCTTGGGCCACGCAGTCTGCTCCAGATTTAGGTCCGGTGCTACTACGGGGGTGATATCCCGAGTATTGTCTGACAGCAGGTCTAGGCCGCGCTCATCGTGACTGTCTGGCACTCCTGGCACAGGCCAGATTCCGTCGAAGATCAAGTCTCCGCGAATATCGGTCGTGTAGTTCAGGTTTCCGAACCCGACCTGGTGGCCGGGGGCATAGCTGTCGCTCTGCTCCAGATGGCCAAGCGAATTGGCCCGCAGTGCGAAGCCGCCAAACACAAAGATCTGTCCGGGGAGAAAAGTCTCGCCCTGGACCGTGTTGTTGACGATTGAAGGCGCCATCAAGCCTCGAAGCGATGACACAGAGGAACTCTCAATGAAAGCACCAATGTCGGTGTCAAAACCGGCGGATCTCGGGTAGGGGGTCCCGATTTGTGCGTCTTAGGCTGATGGTAACAGGAAGCAAGGGACACAATGTTTACCCAGGTTCGGGCCCTCTCAATGGAGGTAAAACCCTACTTCCTGCTTGATTAATATTGAAGATATGAGTAGTACAAGAGTAGATCTACCACGAGATCGTAGAGGCTAAACCCTAGAAGCTAGCCTATGATGGTATGATTGTAATTGTGATCGGCCTTCTAAGGACCATCCTCTCCGGTTTATATAGACACCGGAGAGGGCTAGGGTTTACATGGAGTCGGTTACAAGGAAGGAAATATAATATCCGGATCGCCAAGCTTGTCTTCCACGCAAAGGAGAGTCTCATCCGGACACGGGACGGAGTCTTGAGTCTTGTATCTTCACGCTCCAATAGTCCGGACAATGTGTATAGTCCGGCTGTCCGGATACCCCCTAATCCAGGACTCCCTCACACGTCAGTAGAACAGGTCTCATGAATGTGGTCATGTAATGTTGGTCCGGGCCGCTTCATCCAACAATACCGCCAAATCAAAGTAAGACATTGGTGGTAAGCAGTATAACTATTATCGCCCACAACTCTTTGTGTTCTACTTGTGCATATCATCTACGCTTAGATCTGGCTCTGATACCACTATTGGTGAAGGTAGCATGCAATTTCAAAAAAAATTCTACGCTCAGGCAAGATCTATCTAGGAGATGCATAGCAACGAGAGGGGGAGAGTGTGTCCACGTACCCTCGTTGACCAAAAGCGGAAGCATTATGTTAACGCGGTTGATGTAGTCAAACGTCTTCATGATCCAACCGATCTAGCACCGAACGTACGGCACCTTCGAGTTCAACACACGTTCAGCTCGATGACGTCCCTTGAACTCTTGATCCAGCAGAGGGTCGAGGGAGAGTTTTGTCAGCACGACGGCGTGATGATGCTGTTGGTGATGTGATCCGTGCAGGGCTTCGCCTAAGCACTACGATGATACTATCGGAGGAGTAAACGGTGGAGGGGGGCACCACACACGGCTAAGACAATGTTGTGCCTTTGGAGTGCCCCCCTGCCCCCGCATATAAAGGTGGGGGAGGAGGCCGGCGGCCAGGGGGCGCGCCATGGAGAGGGAAGTCCTACTAGGACTCCAAACCTAGTAGGATCCTCCCCCCCCCCCCACCTTTTCCTTTTTTGGGGAGTAGCAAAGGAGGAAAGGAGATGGAGTAGGAGAAGGAAAGGGGGGCGCCGCCCCCATGCCTTGTCCAATTCGGATTGGCAAGGGGGGCACACCACCTCCGATGGCCGGTGCCTCCTCTCTCCACTAAGGCCCATGTAGGGCCAACAATATCCCGGGGGGTTCCGATAACCTCCCAGTACTCCGAAATTTATTCGAAACTTCCCGAAACCACTTCGGTGTTCGAATGTAACCTTCCAACATATCAATCTTTACCTCTCAACCATTTCGAGACTCCTCGTCATGTTTGTGATCTCATCCGGGACTCCGAACAAACTTTGGTCACCAAAACACATAACTCATAATACAAATCATCATCGAACGTTAAGCGTGCGGACCCTACTGGTTCGAGAACTATGTAGACATGATCGAGACACATCTCCGATCAATAACCAACAGCGGAACCTGGATGCTCATATTGGTTCCTACATATTCTATGAAGATCTTTATCGGTTAAACCGCATAACAACATACGTTGTTCCCTTTGTCATCGGTATGTTACTTGCCCGAGATTCGATCATCGGTATCTTCATACCTATTTCAATCTCGTTACCGACAAGTCTCTTTACTCGTTCTGTAATGCATCATCCCGTAACTAACTCATTAATCACATTGCTTGCAAGGCATATAGTGATGAGCATTACCGAGAGGGCCCAGAGATACATCTCCAATACACAAAGTGACAAATCCTAATCTTGATCTGTGTCAACCCAACAAACACCTTCGGAGACACCTGTAGAGCATCTTTATAATCACCCAGTTACGTTGTGACGTTTGATAGCACACAAGGTGTTCTTCCGGTATTCGGGAGTTGCATAATCTTATAGTCAGAGGAACATGTATAAGTCATGAAGAAAGCAATAGCAATTAAACTTAACGATCATTATGCTAAGCTAACGGATGGGTCTTGGCCATAACATCATTCTCTAATGATGTGATCTTGTTCATCAAATGACAAACATGTCTATGGTCAGGAAACATAACCATCTTTGATTAACGAGCTAGTCAAGTAGAGGCATACTAGGGACACTTTTTTGTTTATGTATTCACACATGTACCAAGTTTTCGGTTAATACAATTCTAGCATGAATAATAAACATTTATCATGATATAAGGAAATATAAATAACAACTTTATTATTGCCTCTAGGGCATATTTCCTTCAGCGGCGACCGTGCACGGGAGTTGGATTCCTTCGAACAGATCTGGGTGAAAACTTGATTTCGGCCAAGGCCGGCGGTGGCGGCGCTATCTACATCGTTCCCTTCTTGAAGGCATCGCCGTGGAGAAGTTCAAGGCCACTCTCTGCTACCTCCGAGGGAAACCCTAGATCGGACGATCGGATGACAACGGTGCTCTGGTGCCGTTCCCCCCTTGGGGGCGTCATTTACGATCGGATGACAGTGGCGCTCTGGTGTCGTTCCCCCCTTGGGGGCGTCATTCTTGGAGGTACACACATGATCGAGAGACCAGAGGACGAATTATGTGGTGGAGCGGTGCGTCGTTTCACTCATTGATGGCGGCGGGTCTCGGCGGCATGGCGTCGTGGTGATTCGGTGTTCGATACGCGGAGATGGACTCGCGCAGGAGGGTGACGCGGTCTGGCGTCGTGGTGACGTCGACGACATCTAGACCAGGCAAGGTTGATGCAGCAGTACAGCTCTGAAGATGGATTGATGTCAGGTGGCTGCGGCAGCCTCATACCCGGCAGGCATCCTGGTTGAGGAGTGCGCCGGACCGGTGGGTGACCGATACCCGGTAGGCGTCCTGGATGGGACCTCAGGTCTTAGATGTTAGGTTTGGCTACGAGGTATGTTTGATATTAGGCCTAGACTATCAGCATCCCTTCATCAATTGGATAGGAGTAGCGACAGATGTTGCCTAGACGGTGGCTTTAGTCTTACTCTTTTATCACTTTGTAAGGTCTTGTGTGAACAATTAATAAAATGGTTGCATGCATCGTCCAGATGCAGAGGCCAGGGGTCCTCTTCCATTTTTAAAAAAAAATCCAAGTTAAAGATATGTACATCTCATTTTTGTACTCTAAAAACTAATGCAGAATCGCTCCCTTCCCAAATTTTAAAAACTAGCAAAATTTTGCTTAGAAAAAGTTCTGGAAACTAGAACTATCGAAAAATGATAAACAAGGAGAAAGTCAACCTTATGTGCTGTGATGTGGTGTGTGTTGCCGATTTTGTGCCCGTAGAGCCAACATCCAAAGAATGGGCATGGTGTACATAGTCCCCTAAAATTCCTACCTTTACTCAAATTTCCTCATTTAATTGATGTATATTGGTCTATATACGTGAATTACACATGGTATTTAAGATGTTTGCCAAAAAAATGGATGTACACTCAGTGGCGGAGACAAGGGGACTAAAACAGTGTATTTTAATGGACTAGCCCTCCCAGCGAGGTTTAGCAAGGTTTGGCCCTCCCCATTAGATTTTCCTGGCTCCGCTACTGTGTACACTTGTACCCAAATCCCAGTGTAACTCAGGCCATGGCGCCAACTGGCACATGTAACGTGTTTGTTTGCCCATATATTTGGTCAATGTTGCACATATATAATGTATTTGTTTGTATACCTTGTACTGCGAATAACAGAATATGCCATACAAAACACTATACCAGAATATATACACTACCAGCTAAAACTACGCTTTACACCGGCGCTTACGTAGTACGACAAGGACGCCTTCCAAATTACACAGGTGCACTCACGCAACGCAAGCACAAGGCTGCAAGCAACAAACCTCCAACGAAAGCTACACCTCATTTCTCTACTCGCATTCGTACACCATCTCGATCTCAACCACCGTCTCCCACGTCTTCCATGGATTTGTTTACGCGATCTCTACGATCGCTGTCGAAGCTGCCGGCCCCGGCCACCTCCGGTTGCGGGCCGGCCATGGACAGCAGCCGCCACGACCACGCGCTCCCTTCCTTGTTCGCGGGTCAAACGGCATGCGTATATAAGATCCCGTCCATGGCCGCGGTCGATTGGAGGTTGCACCGTTCATTTGTTAGAGCTTAGCTAGCTAGCAGCAGCCTTGCACGGCGGCGAGAGGATTAGACCGGCGGCGATCGAGCGGATGAGGATTTCGAGGCCGTACTCGGGGGTGTCCAGAAGCGGGGCGACGGCGAGGACGGGGCCGCACGCGCTGCCGCTGGCGCGGATCAAGAAGATCATGAAGCGGTCCGCGGGGGACGGCAGCGGCGGCGACGGCGCCGGGGCGAGGATGATCTCGGGCGAGGCGCCCGTGGTGTTCTCCAGGGCGTGCGAGCTGTTCGTCGCCGAGCTGACGCAGGCCGCCTGGGCCGCCACGCTCGAGGGCCGGCGCCGGACCGTGCACGCCGAGGACGTCGCCGCCGCCGTCAGGGACACCGACCTCTTCGACTTCCTCGTCGACGTCGTCAAGCCCAGGCTAGGTGACGATGGCGTCGATGCCGCGGACGGCGAAGGCCGGGTCGCGCCGGGCGCCGGTGTCCACGGGGGCGCGCTCGACTAGAAACTTGTCAATGCATGCATCCGGATCCATGCATGCACGGTCGTTGTGGTTAATATGGAATCAAACTGTACGGCGATTAATTGCACTAATTTCGTTCATGTTGTTTTTACTTGCTACTGCTGCCGCCAATTCAAACCGAATGACTCGCCGGTGCAACTAGCACGATTTAATTACCTTGTACACACAAGCATTCGAGCAGTATATGTCTACCTTTGTCAGTCTACATCAGGGACTTTGGATTGACGGTTTTTTAAAGGAAATTTTGAAGATTTCAGTGCTATAAAATTGCTCCCTCTGTAAACTAAGACCTTTTAAATCACTATTAGTGATTATATTAGTTTACAGAGGGAGTAATAGATAAGTTTTTAGCGAGGATGTTTGATGTTTCCACACTTTGATCACAAGCGAATGGAAAGGTTCGTAAAGCTTTATATGTAACCAAACGTCCTTTTGCTGACAATTCATGAAATGTCCAACCCCCTTATAAACGAAAACTAATAATTTAATCAGGCAATTCAAACAGGCCGTGAGATGACCAAATAATAGAATGAGTGCACCCATTTCCTAAAATTCAGTAAAAACATATTTGTAAACTTTGAATAATTCTAGAAAAAAAAACACGCAATATATACTGAGTTGAAACTTACCCATGCAAATTTTCTTACAATAATATGACAACTTTGAGAACATGGGAATGCTACAATTAAGTTCTAAGACTTATAGCATTCTCATTTCCACCCAGCCCAGAAATGGTCATATTATTTCTTCAAAAATTATATGCATAAGTTTCTAACCAATACATGCCTGTCTTTATTCATATTTTTTCAGAACTTACAAAGAATCTAACTTAACTAGGCCCTTCGTCTCGCATCCCTTCATCTCGCAACCACGTGAACAAGCGACTAGGGTTTCATCTGCCGCTCGTCAGTGCTGGAGCCGATCTGCCTCATCTCCCGTGGCTTTAGGGTCATGGACATGTGGTGGATCCCAGCCCTTGCGGAGGATTCCTACTTCATCTTTAGGTGTTTTCACGAGTTCTATTAGGGTTTGTGTTATATTCAAGAAGGCATGGTGGCGGTGGCTCCCTGGAAATGGAGTAAGGTTCTCCTAGCCTAACCTCCATCCCGGCAGTGCGTCTAGCGTCGTCGGGAAGGTGTGTAGATGTGTGTCTCCGGCGGATCTCACGGGATTCAGTTGGTGTTGGTCTCTGGTGATTCCCTTGTATCCAATTTTCATTCATGTGTCTACAGATTCGACCCTTCTAGTCTATATTCTCTTCGTCGGCTACGGTTGTTGTTATGGTGTACTTGTCCTATGGGGAATTAGCATGACGACTTCTCGACTGTCTAGAAACAACTTTTACCCGGATCTGATGAGGGGGTGGTGATGATGATGTCGTGCCTTTTCAGTTCGCTCTAGTGATTGTAGTCGTCGCTAGGTGGTCTACGGACCTTGATGTATTTTTTGTTACTTCTAGTATTCTTTGTACTCCCATCACAGTTGATGAATATCTTGGAAGCTTTTCCTAAAAAATACAAATTGTTTCTTTTAAATTTACGATGTACCTTGATTCCAAAAATCAACTCTACATTATATGGGTTATCCTAGAAAAAAAGGCTACTCAAATGCCTTTATTTTCATAGATATAACATTCTCTTAGAAATATATACCTGATTAACATATTTTAGTAGAAGTCGGCTATTATATTATTATTATTATTATCATTATCCACGAATACCAATACATATAATTAGGCCGGGGTGTTTCCCCTTTTCGAAGAAAAACCAATACATATAATTAAACTACACTATGAGTTGGAGAAAACATATTGTGAAATGGTCAATTTTTCACACTAAACATTTGATGGAAAAGTTTTCCCCAACTTCTTAGAAGGATTGTAGGGCTATTTTATGATGTACCCAAACAACTATTGATGAGGATCCTAAATACCATGTCTTAAAAAAATACATACATATTTCATGGAAATCAAAAACTAAAATGACATCCTCAAATACCATGCCAAATTAACAAATTGCCCATGGATTCGTCTTCCCTCCACCCGCCGCCCCGATGGTTGGTGGTGGGGAGGAGAATCCTGATGCCTTCGCTTCGGTTACAAGTTTACATTCGTTTTCTTAGCCCTCGTAGGTGCGACGTTTGGATGGATAGTGACACTTCTTCTTCGAGTTTGTCTTTCGAGTTCCTATCCTTCTTAAGTTTGTACATCTGGGCGTAGTCGACGGAGTTTCGGCGTAGATTTATGTCGTCTCTTTGAGGCGGTGAGGATATGATTTCTCGTCGTGTGATGAGATTTGATGTCAGGTACTTCAGATCTTAAATTCAACAACGACGACAGTGGCTGCAGAACGCTGGGCCTTGGGGCACATGCACGAAGACTTCACGGTTATCATCGACAAAGTCAAGCCAGCTCTGAGGGAGCAGCGATACGACGCGTTGGCGGCTTGTTCTTGCAATAACAATGGTTGTTTGGTGGTATAGAAATCTCGATATAGGAGCGACTTTTATTATGTCTGAGATGTTTTGGACTTCCGTTAAACTTTTTATAATAGATCTGGACATTTTTTTTTGAAAAAAGATTTTAAAAAACGTGCCTAAGCAAACTACACTATCACTCGGAGAAACACACATTTTACGTGTCAATTCGTCGCGTCGGCGGCGGCAATGAGCCTCCCAGGAGCACGCCTCCTGGCCGTCGCCAAGAACTGCACCCGCCGGCAGCTCAGCCAGATCCATGGCCTCCTCCTCACCTCCTCGCTCCACCGTCTCCCGGGCCTGCCCGCCCTCCTCGTCCGCCGCGCCACCGACGTCGGCGACATGGCCCACGCCGACCTGCTCTTCTCCTCGTTCCTCCGGTCGGGGGCGCCGCCCGACGCCGCCCTCTACAACGCCATGATCCGCGGGTGCTCGTACCACGGCCCCCACGAGCGCGCGCTAGAGCTGTTCGACGAGATGCCGCGCCGGGGCCTCGTCGCCGACGGCTTCACCTACCCGTACGTCCTGGACGCGTGCGCGCGGCTCAGCGCGCGGCGGCGCGGGGAGGGCGTCCATGGCCGGGTCGTGAAGGAGGGGCTCGACCACGTGCCGGCCGTCGGGAGCTCGCTTCTCGCCTTCTACGTCTCCGTGTGTGGCGGCGGCTCGCTGGGCGACGCGCGGAGGCTGTTCGACGGATTGCGCGTCAGGTCCGTGGGCCTGTCGAACCACATGATGGCGGAGCACGCCAAGGCCGGGGACGCCGGCTCCGCGCGGGGGGTCTTCGACGCGATGGCAGACAGGGACGTCGTGTCGTGGAACACAATGCTCGCCGTGCACGTCAAGTCAGGCGACATCGCGGCGGCGAAGGAGCTTTTCGCTGAGATGCCGGAGAGGGACGTCGTGTCATGGACGACAATGCTGAGGGCGCTGTCCGTGGCGGGCGACTTCGCCGGCATGAGGAGCCTGTTCAGCCAGATGCCGGAGAGGAACCTGGTGTCCTGGAACTGCGTGCTCTCGAGCTACACCCGGCACGGCAGGTTCTCGCAGGCGCTCCGCCTCTTCCCATGGATGCTGCTCGAAGGCCACACCCCCAACAGCTTCACCGTCGTGTCGCTCCTCTCGGCCTGCGAGCACCTCCGGAAGCTGCGGATGGGCCGGTGGGTGCACGCCAACCTGGTGACGCCGGCGCTGCAGGCCCACGCCGCCGTCGGGACGGCGCTGGTGGAGATGTACGCCATGTGCGGCGACGTAGCCCGCGCGCTCGTCGTCTTCACCAAGATGCGCGGCAAGGACGTGTTCGCCTGGAACGTGATGATCAGGGGCCTGGCGGTGCACGGGCGGGCCGGCGACGCGCTCAGGCTGTTCGACCTCATGAGGCGGCAGGGCTTCCGGCCCGACCGCTTCACCTTCATGGGCGTGCTGCTGGCGTGCAGCCACGGGGGACTCGTCGACGAAGGGCGCAGGGCGTTCGACGCGATGCAGAGGGAGCACGGCGTCCGCCCCTCGCCGGAGCACTACGGCTGCCTGGTCGACCTGCTCTGCCGCGGAGGCGATGTCGATGGGGCGGTGGGAGTGGTGCGCGCGATGCCTTGTCGGCCGGACCAGTGGGTCTGGAGAGCGCTGCTCGGCGGGTGCGGCGTTCGGGCCGGCCTCGGGTCGGCCGAGGTTCCGGCGACGGCGACGGCCACGGGTGGTTGGTCGGAGGATGGCGAGCGTGCGCCGTTGAGCGATCTCTTCAAGATAAGCAAGTAGATATGCGAACGTAATTCAGACGGCGCTGACTGACATGTGGTCGAATCCCTCGTTCATCATCACCTCGATAGCATTGTCGACGACGAGCAGCGCGCCACCACGGCAAAGAACCCCACCATTGCCTACCGGGTCGCCTCTGTCTGCGCCATTATCGAGGAGCACGACGCCAGCAAGACGCCCATGAGCGCTAGCCGAGTTGCTGCCATGTACTCCATTGAAAGGTTGGAAGACTTGTGATGCCCATGGAAGTTGGAAGAGGTGATAAAGGAGACAAATCCTCTAAATTAGCCATGTCGCTCCCACCAACCATGCTCTGCAGATTATTATGGGCTATGTCAGGTTTCATGATATAGCATAGATTAGTGGAAATAAATCTGTTGACTGGGTGTTATGGGCAAGAGGTTTTCCAGGTATGCTCGGTTCAATTGATTGCATGCGTTGACAACAGAAGAATTGTCCCAAAGGTTTGTGTGGGATGTACCAAGGTCACACCAAAGAGAACATCATCATACTCACGCCGTGGCATCAAAGGACTTATAGATTGGCATGCCTGGTTCTCACAACAACATTAGTGGGCTCCAGTGATCTCACATGTTCAGAAGACTTTGTAGTGGGAAAGTGCCGCCGTGCAACAAACAATGGGCACGACTACAATATGGGGTACTATTTTGCCACTGATATCTATCCTCGGTGGGCAGCGTTGTGAAGACCATATCCGATCCTCATGGCAACAAACAAAGCCACTTTAAAACAATACAAGTAACTAGGAAGGAGCTCCAAACTTATTGGGGAATTGTTCGTGGAGTTGCAGTGATGTGGGAATCAAAGACTTTGTGGCAGTTAGAGGACGAGGGTGAGGGGGCAGCCCGAACCCAATATTATTGAGAAGTCTGGAAGAACAAGTTCACATCCCAGAACAAGATATATATTAGATTCAAATTTTCTGCAAATGCATGATAATCTTCTAGATCAACAGATGCATGTGCAACTACCCAATAATCTTGTGGAGCATATATGTACTCACAATGAAAATCAAAGAGCTTAAGTTTGAATTATGCAACTGCAATAAATTTTATGTTTAAATTATGTATTTCACTACCAACAAATGTTAATTACATGTGATTTATATGTATGATAGATATGCATGCATTTGAGGATTTTGATATGAGAAGTGTGGCTGTTCAGCAGGACATACGAGGAGCCATCCAACACTGTCCAGGGTCACGCCTGCGGACATTTAGGGCTTGTTCGGTTGCATGAATTTTGAAGAGGATTGGAGTGGATTGGGGAGGATTCAATCCTCAATAAACTAAAATCCACATCAATCACGTCCAAACCTCCCCAATCCTCTCCAGGAGAGGTTTAACCGAACATTGCCTTAGGGAGGGCGGTTTTGCCAAGTCCGGCTATAGATGCTCCAGCGCCGGATTTGCACTGAGTTTACCGGCTGGTGTCACTCAATCTCCGTGATCTGGCGCTGTGGTATGTTGACCAAAAGGAGGAAAATAAAGTATATAGTGATAATACAGATGACAAGCCAGCAACTTCATAAAATGCATAGCGTCAGTGACGACGAACCCATGCACCGTAGCCACTAGTACTACAGCAGACCATAGCAATTACAGGCATACATCGCCTACGTACGTACGTTACAGGCATACATCTCCGGCCATCGCCTACAGTACGTACACAGGAACAGATTAGCGCACCGCACCGCACCGGAGGAACAACCGATTACCATCCAAACAATAATACACCACGTATCTAACCAGCCTGAGCTTCATTAACAGCACGCGTCGCCAAATAAAAGGCAGTCGGAATGAGCATCTAGTTTATGAAAATCGGCGACTAAATAACGAGTCATGCTAAGTTGATCAGCATCTAGTAGTTTGGTGCTTCGTCCAAGATCCATCTCAGTACATCTTATACTCGACTAATCCTCGCATCTCATCGCCACCATTGATTACGAGCTCACCATGTTGAACTGGAACCTGGACAGCTGCTGCGGGATGGTGGAAATCACTGGTCCGTACCGCTGCATCCACATACAGAACAAAAATCAGACTATTTCATAGGAAGCATCATGCAATAACAAAATTTAGACTGCACATGGAAATATGCAAAGCACTGTGATAAAATAAGCAAATTCTGCATGGTCGTATGAATCTACTAAAAGCTGCAGGTTTCAAGGATCCTATTCCTATCACCTGGCTACAGAGTGAAGATCCATATGGATATGTGACAACTAAGCCAGTATTGACAGCACCAAAAATGACTCACTTTGCAGGTTTTTAACTAGACAGGACATGTACTTTCTCAGTCAAATATAGATGGTAAGTAGGAAAAAAAAATAGTGAAGCAAAACAAAATTGCTTGTAGTGGGATACATCTTTGCGAAGAAAAAAGTATTATCACTGGGCCCCTTTTTAGCATGTGCTTGGTTGGAGGTATGTAATGGAATGGTTCCAGATATTGGTACCATCCTGGTGTTTGGTTGTGAGCACCCAGCAAATCAGAATGAAAATAAGATGGTCCAGATTCACAACATGTTGATAACGCAAAATCGGTCTAAACGACCAATATTCCTTGCTGCATTCGTTCCTCACGTGGTCTCTATCCCACACTCTAAAAAAAAAACCTATCTCTTGTCCATCTCTGTGGCAGCACACACATCTTGGTGGTTGTAAATGGGAGGCGAGACAGCAATCGTCGCTGGGTGGTATAGAAGCAGTGGGCCAGCACTCCTTTTGGAGTGCTGGGCAGCTGCTGTGGGCAAGATGCTGGGCGTAGCAGCTGATGGGACTCGGCATCTGCTAGGAGCCTAGGAGGTGACCAGAACCGTGAGCAGAGGAAGGAGCAGAGGTGGGCTTCCGAAGAGCAAGGGAATAGCATGGAAATGGTCAGACAAATGAAGCTCAATGTATGCATGCCAAAACAAAATCCTAGCTAGTTAATTGTTCAGGTATCTGCTGGATTTGGAGGCACATTCCAGAGTTAATTGTTGTTACATTGCTCACCTCTGTGAGATTATAATTTTACAGTTCTATATGTTGAAAACAGTAGATTATTCAAACGTGCATGTACATTACAATTATTTCCTTAATTTGTCTAAATAGTTGGTTTAGGTGACTAGGTATGTGATCAAGAACTTTGGATGACTAGCTTTTGTGAAGCCTTGCCTATGGACTTCGTATGGTTGCATGGACAGCATAAATAGGTGCTTCATACTTTTAAACTTTCGTCACAAAGTGTGTTATGTCTGATGTCTATATTTGTCATGCGTGTGCATGCTTGTTATTAACTGTTTGTACTGGAAATACAAATGAAATGCTGCTGAAAATTCAAATGAGCTATTGGTGAAATTTACACATATGCAAGAGGCAACATTACTCTTCATATCAAGAAGGGACTCAAACTATATTCATTCCATGCGTCCCTCCAACAAACCACAAAATGGAATCATCCCATTCAATAATGACATTCCCTCAACCAAAAAACATCTGGAATGATTGTATTTTTCGTTCCAAACACCTAGATTTAACCATTCCATCATACTTGGTTCCCAACCAAACACAACCTAAAGGCATATATTTGAGGGATGGGTACAGTGTTTCCAAACAGCACTAAAAGTTAACTTTCACCATAAGAGGAGTGCTGCTTACCTGAACATTGTCATATAGTTCAAACAGTGGAACAGCAAGTAGCTTCAAGTTCCTTGGAACAGCGAAATACTCCCTTTCAGTTAGGTGAACAATGAAAAGCTTCTTGCACTCCTGTTAATCAAATTGGTCATTTCCATTCCTGAATCCCAAATCCTAATAATAGATGGTTACAAGAAAAACTCAAGAGTGTACCTTGGGCTTTGTTATATGTGGAGGGCAGTAAGGATACATCACGGTTTCAAAGTTTGGCCTCCACCATTCAGCAACACACTCTCCAACCTGAAAGTAACAAGCATATTAGAACTTTATCTGAATGGATACAGTTTACAGATCTATCATTTACATGCATCTCACCACAACAAAGTCAGCATGGTAATTAACAAAACCGGAGCCTAAAGTTACGGTAAGCAGAAGCCAGGACAGGAAAGTTCTCCCTGATTCGACATACTTCATATTTTGGTAAATACATCAAAACCATTACAGAGACATCCGCTCAAAAGTTAGAACCTTGTTATACAAACGTGTAGACGCAAAGAAGATAACATGTACCAGTATGACAGCACACAGTTAGCACTGGAAACTGGATAACAATTTTCTGTAATTAACACACATGGCAATGTTCCAATTTAGGTGCAGCCGCAATATAGCCCATAAGGAGCTATATAATGTTATTGTCTGCATGACTTAAATGGGGAATGACTATAACAACCATGTTAAGTGAACAGGTTATGGGGAGTTGAAATGGAAGTTCAGTTTTTCTTTCTTCTAGATGCAGATAACCTTCTGTGCTACTGGGTTAACTATGATCCAGCAAGGTACAAAGTGACCAGATACAACTTGAAGGCCCCAAAAAATAAGTAATGAGATATGGTCATTCACCATTATAACAAAAATAAAACTGAATTCCTGTTGGTTCATTACCTGCCAGTTAGGTGGAAAGGAAGGTGAGTTAACTGCAAGCTTGCTGCACAGCTTCCTTTTCAGGCCCTCAATTTCTGCAGGATTCCAGTCACATGAGTGAACAGCCAAAGACTCATGATGGTACCAAATAAGAAAGATATGATAGAAAAGCTGAGCAACCAAAAACTCACCACTTTCTCCAGGCTTCAACCGTCCACCGGGAAGTTTGCAAAATGTGTTTCCAATTTGCAACAACAGTATGTGGGGGTGGTTGTGCTCTTGCACCTATACCAGACAATCCAATTGAATATTTCAGTTTATTTGACAAATTACTACAGCCATAGCCAACTGTAACTGCAGGAATTTTACTGACCACTGGATGTTTCAGGCACAAGAATGTAAATAACATTAACTATGAGATGGATGAATACAAACATACCAATAGGATTGCTTCAACACTTGTTCGCATTCCTTCTTTCATGTAGCTGACATTTGCACAAGTAATTAGTAGGTTAACTGATGATCCATTTGACAGAATAAGGTTACACTACTTAGCAGAGTAGCCAAGTGTTCAGGGGATACTTAGGAGACAACATAGAATGTACATAAATCTAGCAACCGGTTGAAGAAACAGTAAAAAAATCTATATGGGCTCCCTTTATGAATTATGATATGATACATATTAGCTTGACATTCCAGGCTAGTATTCCAACAAATTATCATGTACAATGCTCCATAATAGATGCAAAAAACAGTAGACTACATGAACAGTCATAAATCAACTTCGACAGTACCTAAATAAGGGCCAAAGTAAGGCATTCTCAAATTTTGACTAAAATATACAGGAAAGTGGTACTAATGGGGGAGGCCTTCGACCCAACAAAAAACGCAAATGATGTGAGCTCTAGGGTTTAGGGTTTCCGGCGAGAACAAGACACCAGGGCCAGGGGCATGTCTGGATCGGGGAGGCGGGGGAGGGGAACGGGAACGGCGGGGAGGGGCACTCACTTGACCTTCATGCGAGCGAGGCGGTCGGCGACGGAGGTGTCCTTCTCCATCTTGGCCTCCTTGGTGCCGAACGTGTAGTTGGCGAGCGGGTACACGTTCACCACCGGCGAGGACGGAGTGCCCACCATCTCTTCCCCCGCTTCGCTTCGCCGGGCGCTGCCTCTTTCTTCTCCGGATCCGGTGGTTGCCGGCGGTGGCGGCGGGGGAGGAGAGGTGGTGCGGGCTTTTTTTTTGGTGAGGTTCGGGGCCGTTCTTGGCAGTGGGGGGTTTGTGGGGGTGGGTTGGGCGTCTCTCGGGTCTCGATCGCGGGCTCGCGGCTTTGACCAAGGCACATGTGGGCCTTGTGACTTTTTTTTATTTTTCTTTGAAACTGTGTGGGCCTGTAATTTTGCAGCAAAGACCAAGAGTAAGAACCCCTAAAATAAATAAAAAACAAGAGTAAGGAAAAAAAAGATACTACTCCTACCATGGGACACACTTTGCTAGCAATATACTTGTCTCACCCTAGAGCAAAGGAACATACTTTTTTTTTGCATGTAACATGTCTTCTACCCAAAGCTCATATGCAACATGTCTTCTCCATGATCTCGCCCGTCTCCTCTTTCGACTTATTGGCGTTGTCGCCCATCCTCCTCCTCGAACCCTCACCTTCCGTACGTCCTCTTCGCATCATAAATACTCCCTGGGGAGAACTGGCAATAGCCCAGTGGCTAGGTCGAGGTGACGCATCCCGACTGGCCACGATTCGAATGCCATCGGAAGCGAATTTGTGGCATCTCACTTGGGTGGGCTGTATCATATATAGGCCATGGATTGCTCCCCATTGGTTGCTCCCCATTGGCATCTATTTTATGCATCGTGATTCGTGCAAGCAATTTTGTCTTTTTTTTTCATATAAAACATATGAACTTCAAACTTTACAATACAACAAATCATTCTAACTAGAATGTGGGAAAAAACTTTCAGATTTTTTCATGCATCATAAATTTTAAAAATAACATTGTTTGAATAAAAGAAATCTCATTTTCTATATTTATGTCGGACAAAAAAATCTGTAAGTTTTTTCCCGTAGGGAAAGTAGTGGCTGCACCCACGCAGGACATTTCAAAAAATTCTAAAACTTTGTGGGAATGATCATCAACAAATGTTATCGGTGCTTGCAAAGTTTGGTAGTCAAATTACATTCGATGAGCTCCGTACAAAAAAGACAAAATTACAAAAATCTGCCCAAACAGTGCACTTACATTTTGACTAATTTTCAGTGATTTTGTCTTTTTTTGTACGGAGCTCCTCGAATGTTATTTGACCACCAAGCTTTGCAAGCACCCATAACATTTGTTGA